TATTTCTTCTTTATCAAATCAAATGGTTCTCATCTATGTTTCATGTGGTGTTTGGAGACGGGATGTGAATAATGAGTGGAAGTTCATTGTTGATAAGGAAAAAAAAGGCAGATTACTCTCGTTGGAAGCAAGTACTACAGTAGAGCAATTGAAGATGATGGTTTTGGAGGATTTTGGAATGGACGAGAAGATTGTTAGCACTGAGTTGAGTTATTTTCCAAGTTCTTTGATGAGTAATCTAGGAATTCCACTAGTTGTTATTTCCAATGATCGCCAAGTTTGCAGTTTTATTGGATATAGGAAGAAAAATTCATCCATCTACTTGTGTGTGTCATTTACGGGTATGGTTGGGAAGCGAAACAACAATTTCGATCTGAATGAGAAGCCTTCTAACTCAATTTTCTTGTCAAGCTTCTCCCCCATTACAGTGATGGTTGTTTGAAACGTATGCTGCAAGAATCTCTTCAAGTCTTTATTCTCCATCTCCACACCCGCCTCATCTTGTTCCTCATTTATGGAAGTTGATTTCAATTGTTTTGGAAGCTCATAATCCATAACCTGCAAGCAAACAAAAAATAAGAAAAATAGATCAATACTTTACAACTTAAAGAATCAAAGTCGAGCTCAAGTAAAAACAATAACTAACCAAGACAAGCTCAAGTAAAATAAACAACCAAAACGAGCTCAAGTAAAACAATAACATTCATATATACCTTCACCAAGANTTTTGAGTTCCTAATGAATTCAATATGACTTTGAATCACATTCCTCATAATCAAAGAATTATTCAATGCATGTTAAATCCCAAAACGTAGGAGAAGAAGAACACTTGAAGCAAACACTTACTCAAGTTGAAATCCGAAATCAGAAAGAGGATTCGTCGGAGAGAGGATTCGTCGGGGAGAGGAGACGGGTCTGAGACGGAGCTTCGTCGGAGAGAGGAGACACGGGTCGGAGACAGAGCTTTGTGGGAGAGAGGCCGGACTTCGCCGGAGAGAGGCCAGAGAGAGGTCGGAGAGAGAGAGAACCTCCTGTTTGGTTTCTCTCCTCCGTTTGTCGGAGAACGAGACTGAGAAAGGAGATGACTTTATTAAGGTTTTTTTAAAAAAAAAATTTAATAAATATAGGGTTAATTTTGTAATTAATTGGGTAAAGGTATATTTAGACAAAAGTAAAATGGACAAAGGTATAAGGTGACAAACTCATCCTCAAATTGGCCCGATTAGCCAATTTTCTCTTGTTTTTTCACCCTCCTCTATATAAACTCTCTCTCTCCCTCTCTCGATCTCATCACTCAAGAAACAAACCCTCTGTCTCTCTCTACATATCTTTCTGCTCTCAATCCTTGTTGTCTGAATCTGGTACTACTAACTATGTCGGAGAGACCAAACCGTCACCAGAGAAGACATTCTCAGAGCGTTTTGCCGATCTCCCTAGAGGATCTCGACATATCTATCACAGCAAATCCTCCATCATCCATCCATTCTCAGCCGCCACGCCATCAGATCCCTCTGCCGTCTCCTACTGCTCCTCCGGCAAACCGTGGGAACGATAATGACAAGGCTAGCAAGGAAGGGAACGCCTCTTCTAGTTGATTTCGTATTTTCATGTGCTTTTTTTTTTAATTTAAGTGTAAGGCTTGTTATCATCGCATAAGCCTCTTGTATGTCTTCTTATTAATGTCGCTTGATAATCAGATTTTATGTTTTGTAAAATTGCTTATATGATAATGAATCAATCGTAGTTCCTATCTCAATATGCTAAAATGAAGAATACAAGGGAAAGTTTATGATTTTGAATCTATTAAGAAAGTATTAGATTTAAATTAGTTGCTAAATCGTGACAAAAAATACCTGAGGTAAACCTATAAATAACTGTGAATTTATTTTCCTTTGTAATTGTTAAGATACTACAATATTGAAATCGTTAGAATCTTGGAGTAATATGCAATGGTTGGCGTTGACCGAGATATTCGCGGGTCTTCTGCATAGAAAGATGAGAAAGCCTTCATGTTAAAACAGGATGAAAGGCTTTGAAGTACGAAAACAATTATATTAAAATGTCAACAGACGCAGAACTCTATGAATGAATTGAGCTCAATTTTAACATAACATGAATATTTTAATTTACTGAAAGATTTCTTATATCTCTTTTTGGTCTTCTTCCTGACTTTATATGCATTTTTCGAGAAGATTAGTTGAGCATTTTTATCTGTATAATATTGATGTCTCCATTGATCATGTCTATTAATATTACCACTCGGATATACATATAATTTGCTTACATATACTATAAGGTTAGCACGTTGACCGAAGTCGCATCTTTACGGAACACAAAATCATCCATTTAAATGCCAAACGAGGATAGTACAGGAGCTAATTGAAATTAATTTACTATATAAACTCATGCACAGTGCGCAGACTATTTTTCATTATAACTAGTTGACTATAAAAATAATTATCAAACGTAATACTGTCAATAAATAGTCTAATAATAATGGTATGATCAATGTAAACCATATTATTGTCAATAATATATTTCAGAAAGAAATAACATGTGGCCAGTGGTTTTGGTCGCTATGAAGATTGATCATGTTGCTGACAAACATAAGCCCTGATGTCTCTGTAGTCTGTATGATAAACCAAAAAACGTAAATTAAAGACTGAAAATTTGTAGCATAAACGTAAATAATACTAGTAAATGATTAAAGTTGATCCACTATTATCGGAAGAAGACTAGCTAATGCATGGGAGAAGATTCTGTCGGTGTTCCCAACGTCAATTAAGCAAAAATTATGAGAAAGTAATAAATTTTATTTTTTTTTGAGAAATGGCTATGAGAAAGTGATAAATTGCAAGGAGGAGAAAGTAGTAACATTAATACGACTGCGATCGATTTTTTTTTGTATTACAGAAAATATGTTTTTAACTTTTAGTACTGAAAATCATCGTCAGTATTGACTGAAAATATTTTTTTGTTTGTTTTCACTTGTCATTTGTCAACAACAATGAATGAAGGTAACAGCCCGAGAACAAAATAATTAGATAAAAGGCCAGTTACCAAAGCCACAACGAACTCGTTACAATTTGGGTTACTTTGTTACATTGCATTAGATTAGAATAATGACATGTATCACTGTATATTATTGACTAACAAAATGAAAGAGACGATGTATATCTTTTTTTTTTTTTGAGACGATGTATATCCTTTTGCATAAACACAAAAGAATGTGTACCATCTTTTGATAGTAACTAGGTCTCACTATGTCTACTTCTGTTCTATATATATATATATATATATATATATATTCTTTGTTTTGGTAAGATGTTAAGATTACTTCTGTTCTATATGATCGTGATATATCGTTAAGTAATCTTTTATGATAACTCAGCTTAAAGTTTTACAATCTTAATCAGCTTGTCGTGACTCAGTCAATTTTAAAACTTCATTTCCAAATGGTAATCTATAAATAAAACATTAAGTAAAGAAAAGAATAAAATATTGTTTTTTCAAAAAAAAAAAAGAATGATAATCTGCTTAACTAACTTTGGAAAGAGGTCATCAAATCTGACAAAAGAAAAAGGAAAAAGAAAAAGATAATTCTGTCGGAAATACAACGTGTGTGCACGTGGTGAATGATCGTCAATAGGGCTGGGCAAAAAAACCGAAACCCGAAAATCCGAACCGAACCTGACCCGATAAAAAGGAATCCGACCGATCCGAACCCGACATAAATATCGAATGGATCTTGTTTTACGGTATTTCGGGTTATGGGTTTTATCCGAACCGAACCCAAACTTAAATGGATATTCGAAAGAACCCGAAACTTTAAAATTCCAAAAAACTTATATCATACTCAATCTAAATTTCTAATATGTTTCCAAAACACATTAATATATTATTGAGTACCTATAGTAATTAGTTATGATATGAATAATTAACTCAAATATTTAATCTAATATATAGTGTTATTTGGTTGTTACTAATGTTTATGATTGACATTACATTTGAAGTTCAGTTACGAATAAATTTGTTTTGAAGTTTAAATAATGTTGTTTTTTTTAATTTTCAATATTACTTCTTACGTTTATATAATTGCTAGTTGTTAACTTTAACTTTTTATGTTTCATTATGTATGATTCTCGTTCATACAAGACTTTGGTTTATCATTAATCATGATAGTGTTGTCACATATAGTTCAATGACAAATCTTATATTGTTGATAGATGAGTTTCATAATATTATTTAGAAGCAGAACAATACGATTTGTAGAAGCTAAATACACAATTTAATAAAAAAATTGAAAATATAGTGAATATAATTGAGTATAAATTAGCATTTTTAGAATCGATAACCAAATAAGTATCCGAAACCGAAACTATTTCGGGTTCAACTGGATTTTGGACATGTTACTAAATCCGAACCGAACCCGATTAAACCCGAACCGAATCCGACCCGAATTTTTATAATATCCGAATGGGGCTGAAATTTATGAACCCGAAAACCCGAAACCCGAATGAACCCGAACCGAAACCCGATTGGGACCCCGAATGCCCAGCCCTAATCGTCAACAAGGGAATCACATTTTTAAATGGGCCTGGCCCATCTAAGTGAGATTTTTTTTTTCAGAGAATTTCGTTGGGTACAGTAATGATGAAACTTCATAAACGTTGTCTCGTTGAGTAAATAAAATAAGTACACGGTTAAGGGACTTCGTCCTTTCGAGAGCTTAGTAAGGTATAGGTGACTTTGTTGTGTTGATATTTGATAACGATATCAAGTTAGTTGATAAATCAGGCCATCAGGCAGGGTCAATTTCATGTTCCGCCTTCTTAGGTTGTCTACTTAATGGGCTTGAAGAGTGCTACTAACCGAAATCCTACTAGATCTCAAATTTGATATGTGTTTTTATTCGTTGGTGAAATATATAATAAACTACTAGGATCAAATTAATGCTCTTCGTTGTTTGGTAGAAGAGCCTCTCTAACCAAATCTATATTTTACTGCAGAATAGAATGAAATGAAGAACAAATAAAAAAATAATTATTCTATATATGAAGTAATGAGATTTTTGTTTCTTCATCACTTTATTTTCCATTACCTTTTATAGTAAATTATGGAATAAGATTAGAGATACTCTGAATCTGTGAAATGGGTCGAACTCCAATTTGATCGTTGGAGAAATTCATAAAAATATAAGCAAACAGAAAAAAATGCAAAAGAGTCGCTACCCTTTTCAAGCTTAAGAAACTGGTACACGCAATATCAACAAAACCAAATACATTACATAGCTCTAAATCCTAAGAGTTAAACAATCCAAATTACATAATCAGAGACCATAACCCATAATTACCAAACTAGTTAAAAGCTGTTTACTTGATTTTCATCTTGTTGGCTTTCGAGAAGCGGAACCTTTTCCTATCAAGAAGAAGACCAAGACACAACAGTTTGTATTATTAAATAATAGTGACAGTCCTCTTTTATCAACTTTTCTTTTAAAAAACGGCATAAAAAAGTACGAACCTTTAGATGGAGGAGTGCAGTTAGTCTCATTCCCTTCGTTTACTTGGATAAAATTCCGATTCTGTAAAACCGTAACAGAAATTGTTTTAAGATCATGTTCTCATGGTTAGTGAGGTTAGTGTAATTCAATAACTATTATCACAATTCACAAACCCCATCATACACAGGAACTTGGTTGCGCCAGAACTCTAGTGGTGACACAAGAACCCTTCCTGCAAAAAAAAAAAATCAAAAAAATCAAACGGAAACCCTTTTTTAAACTATATGTTCAAAACTGAACCTTTGAAAGTGAACAAGTTCTACTCTCTATCAACGAACCTGATCTTGACCGTCTCTGTCCTAATGAATCGGTAGACACTGGACTAATCTTCTGTTTCTTAGCGTCTTTATCCGGTGTTGCCTTCCCATTACATAACAACAGAGGCATCAACTAGTATAAACCAACATGATTATCCCAGTATTATTGGTTACAAGGTATCATTATGATTCACATTTTGAATAGTTGATAACAAGAATATGAGATATAGTTACCTCCTCATCAAAGTCGATCTTCCTGATTGTTTTCCCCACTGATAAGTTGTTTATAACCTTGGACCCTGAACGAGTCATAGGCTCTACTACTCCATCCAAATCAACTTTATGGATCTTCTCACTTTTCTTTGATTTTCCATTCTTTCCGGGCTTGCTACCATCACTTACTTCTTTCGACAAGGAACGTAGAGATGTTTTTGTTACCGTCAGCTTACCTTTCCGCTGTTCAGAGGTCACTGTAGCCTTCTTTCTTGTTATCTTTTTGCTATTAGTACCAGAATGCAATTTACCACATCCATCATCCACTCGGGGTATCTCTTCATTATCCATACATTCATCTCTTTGGACGTCATTGGCCTTAGCCTTATTCAAACCTTCACTACCATGACCAACATCTTTAGTAGTAGGATCCTTGACTTCACTCACATCATGTTTCCTTTTGACTTTCGTCCGAGAATGATTCACATGCTCTACTACATCTTTGGTAGTAGGATCCTGGACTTCACTCACATCATGTTTCCTTTTGTTCTTTGCAGTTTTGACTTTGGTCCCAGAATGCTCTACTACTACTACATTGCCGGCACTTCTGAGGATCCTGCCACTTTTCTGTGATACTGCTTTCTTGCCAGGTTTACCACTCTTTTCAAAGTCTTCAAACAGAGAACGTGTACATGCTTTCCTTGCCTCAAGTTCACCTTTCCCCTGTTCTAAAGTCAGTGATTCTTCAACAGCACTCATACATGTTACTTTATCAACATTATCTGTACCAGTATGCTTCTTACCACATCCATCAGCTAGCGATATCACTTTTTTTACATCACTGTTCTTAGCCTTGCCCGAACCTTCATTAACATGATCTCCACCATTAGTACACTTGTTGACTTCACTCTCACCTTCTTCTACAACACAGCTCTTAGCCTCCTTACTCAAACCATCACTACCATTAATTTTCTTGAGTTTACTAGCTTCAACAGATTTGGATTGCAGACGAAGAGACTTTTTCCTTGTAGGTTTCTCATCTCTTACTGTAGAACCACCACCGCCACGGAGACCATCTTTATCAACAATCTCCTCCTCTGTGTTCTTCTCAACAACCACAGCTGGACTATCCTCTACATTCCATTTACACGGTGATAAAACAGCACGAGAAGAAGCTGCATAAGTTTAATAATAATAAAATCATATATAAGAAAAGAAAACACACATAATAAGTAACAGAATTGTTGCTTTCAATATAACCTTTATTGATAGCATCTCCAGAAGGCACTCCTACAAAGCAATCATTACATTTTGATTCCCAACAAGGAGGAAACCCGAAGATGAACTCACGCGAAATCTACTCTCAGGGGAAAAGAAACAAAACCAAAAGTCAGTCCCCCAAGTCAGTAATCTTGAAGAAAGCAGATAAATTACCTGAGGGAGGAAACCAGATTGAGCAAGGCGTTGTTTGTTGAGGAAGCCACGGAGGATGATGCAGACGCCATCAGAAGCGTGGAGAGTGAAGACATCAAAGACTGTGATGATTGGGGAAGATGTGAACACACGCATTGTTCTTGTCTCAGTAATCTGGGTTCCTGCAACCCCAAATCGTTTTCCTTCGTATTCCTTTTCGCATTTTATCAACCACCAATCTCTCAGCACCACCTTTTTTAATTCATAAACAGTACAATTAAAACTCCCCCAAATAATAAATTAGTTATATGAATGATGATGACTTAATCAAGTGTATTGTAACAAAAGACTCACTCACCGTTTTTTGGAAAGAAGACGATTCTTCAGCCATGGAGGAGGAGGAGAGAATCGTTTCTCGGTCGAAATGTGAGATTGTCTTCTTCGCATCGGAATTGAAAAAGTTAGGGTTTTTAAGAACTTCGGCGGGAGATGCTCTTGATATCTGCGCGGGAATTCTTTCATAAAGTAAGTTATTACTTGAGAGAATAACAAACAAAGTGGCTGTAGTTTAGTGGTGAGAATTCCACGTTGTGGCCGTGGAGACCTGGGCTCGAATCCCAGCAGCCACACTTAAATTTTTCGCTGTATTTTTTATTTAAACGGCGTAGTAACCTTTTTGAAGGTCTTATCCTACTCGCTGATTCGCTGTTACGAAGATCTGTTGGGTAGACTCGTGATAGAGAAGAGAAGAAACGAAAAGATAAGGCATATATGCGCATCTCTTCTCACTGGCTTCATCTCTTGTACCACTTTTTCAACACGTTTCTCTAGTTTTAGATTTTGGGATGCTTGCGACTAAATCACGAACCGTATTCTTCTTTACCCCAGTCACTCCCATCGCTATTCTATATTGCCCCACCAATAAAAAAGATTATATTTTTATTCATATTTTAATCGAAAACGTGGTAAAAAACGATACTACCCCTAACAAAACTTAATATTTACAGACCCAACCTCCTTCTATTTGATCCGACCCGGCTCCGTGGCGTGACCCGTGGGTCTCTCTCCAAACCCTCTCTTTCTCTCAGTGTCTCTCTCCAAAGCCTCTCTTTCTCTCAGTCTCTCTCTCCCAAACCCTCTCTTTCTCCCCGTGTCTCTCTCTCAAATCCCCTTTTCCTAAATTTTCTCTGGTTAAGTGTTTCTCATTTTCCCCAAATCGAACAAAATCAGAAACCCTAGAATCGAAATCGACAGAATCCTCTCTTTCCTAAATCGACAGAATCCGTCGTCGGCGAAATCGAAATCGTCCCTGTGTCTCTCTGTCTCTCTCTCAACCCTCTCTTTCCTAAATCTTTCTCCCCGTGTCTGTCTTCCAAATCGTCGCTTCCATCACCAAGCTCGGCTTCTTAAAGGTAAGGTTTTTTCTTACCTTTTTCATAATGTCAAATCGTTTTGATGTGGGTTCTTCGGGATATAGGATGTGTACATGTTTGGCTTAAGGAAATTACTGAATTTTGAAATTTTGAATCTGATTTTTTTTTAAGATTATTGTTAACTAAATTGAATGATGTTATCCGGACCATTAACCGAATGAAATTCAATTTAAACTTTCTAGTTATAGGACTATGACGATTTTGTTTGAATGCTTGATGATTTATTTCAGCATTAATTGAATGTTTGTTGTTTTGGATAATCAGAGTAATGACAGGAAAGACGCGTGGACAGAAGAAGCAGAACAAGAACAACAGGAAGAAGTCAAGAAGAGACGAGGATCATGTAGAAGAGTCTTCAACCAGAAATGATAGTGATGATCTAGCAGACAGAAATGAGTCTCGACAAGAGAATGAGACTGAGCATATGTCTGCGACATCTGAGGTACTCATTCCCAAAAATATTTCATTTGTTGTAGTTTAAAAAATTAGTATTGTTGGTGTATTACTGGTATGACTAGTACTACTAAAATTAGTATTGTTGGTGTATTACTGGTATGACTAGTATTACTGATTAACAAAATGCTAATAAAAATTTATATGGTTTTCAGGAATGCCAACCACTGCCACCTGATGAGCTATACTTCCAGAACACCGAGTACACTAAGACAACCAAGATACAGAGCAAGTGTTTGGTGAGTAAGACGGTGGCTCTCATCAAGGACTTTAAGACTGAGTTGGTGTGGTTCGAGAACCATCCTCAGTTTTCTCATATATTCCACATGCCTGACGAACAATTCTTGAAGCTGCTTAGTGTTTGGATGCTTTTGTTGCGAACCATTCCCTTAGAAGAGGGAGAGGAAACAGCTTGGTTTGCGGTTAATGGCGTGCCTATCCGGTATTCCATGAGAGAGCATGCACTCATCTCGGGTTTGGACTGCCATGAATATCCGGGTGAGTTGGAGAAGTTGGGGAGCTATACTTTTGTAAACAGGCATTTTAATTCACATGCGGAGATAACCATGAAATCAGTGGAAGAGAAGTTGAAGAGCATGAGCGCATGTGGGGATCGACTCAAAATGGCAGTGCTCTACTTCCTGGGCACTGTTATCAGAGGGAAAGGAAAGTATAATGCCCCCTTTGATCCTTTCATTTTAAGAATCGTCAACAATTTGGAGGATTGTAAAACTTTTCCATGGGGCCGCTTGACGTTTGATGATGCTATCCGGACCGTTAAACACGCGATGAAGAAACTCAAAGGGAAAGTCAAGGCTAATGTCAACTTTCCCGGGTTCATAATTCCTTTACAGGTAAATTTCACATTTTTATATGAGTTTTGTTTTGACAAATCTTGACTTGTTTGTGTGATCATTTTTTTATTTTTGATATATTATATTTGTAGATGCTGGCATTTGAGTGTATTCCAACTTTGAACGCTCAATTTAGAGAACGTGTGCCTGGCTGTGTAAGTACCTGTCCGAGGATGTGCAAGTGGGAGTTCGTAAGTAACAGCATGAAGGGTTATCCACTTGAAGATTTGTACGACGCACTTGGACAAACAAACGTAAGTGTATGATACAATAACCGAGTTTGTTTGTATTAAGTGAAAGAGATACAATAACTAACCGTGTTTGTTTGTATTTACAGAAAATACAAAGTATTTTGACTCCTACTGTTGATGAAGAAATCCTCCTGGCGCGCATAATGGAGGCCGAGCCAGACTATGAAAATGAAGACGGACCGTGTAATCTGTGGAACACATGGCTTACTGTTAAGCAGAAGCCAATATGGTGGAAAAACCTTTATGATTTAGATGTGGCTGCAAGGAATTTTTCTGAGAAGAAAGGCAAAAGTAAAAAGGATGAAGAAGCATCCTCCTCCAATGCAAATTTGGAGGACGTTTTGAAAGAGACTGAAGAGAGGATGATGGCATGTTTGAGTGAAGTAAATGTGAAGGTGGATACAATGGACAAGCGGCTTGGTGTCTTGGAAAAAAGCCACAAGATTATGAAAAGGAGGGCTAAGAAGATGAAAGCAATAGAGAAGAGGAGGGCCAGAAAGCAGAAGGCAATGGAAGAGAGGCTTGATGGCATTGAAAACGAAATGAAGAAGAAGAAGGAGAATGAGAACAGTTATGGTAACGATTACCAAACTATGGATTTTGGTTGGAATGAGAGGCGTCGAGAAGAGGCTGAGGAGGAAGAGAAAGGTTGTGAGAAAGAGGATGAAGAGGTAGAGATGAATGATGAAAAACAGGATGATGAGGTTGAGGTGAATGAAAAACAGGATGATGAGGTTGAGGTGAATGAAGGCAAAGAGATTGAAGAAGAAAGTTCTGAGAGTGAGAGTGATCATTGGACACTGAAACAAATGATGGAGACGTGTAGAGTACAAGCTGCTAAAATATGGAAGGATATTGGCGCTGCTGAAAAGGTCGACGAGGGTGGAGTAGAGGTGGAAACAGATACTCGAGTTGATGCAGAGAGTGAAGTGGTGGAAACAGAGGCTCAAGAACCCGAGACAGAGGCTGCAAAGGATGGGGTTGAAACAAGGAGAAACTTGGTGGATGTTTTCTACATGGAAGAAATTGAAAAAGAGGCTCAAGAACCCGAGACAGAGGCTGCAAAGGATGGGGTTGAAACAAATGATGGGGTTGAAGCTGAAAACATGGTGGGGGAAAAGGTGGAAGAACCCGAGACAGAGGCTGTAAAATACACAGAGGAGGAAATGCAAAAGTGGTACATGGTTGTCTACGAGGGAGCTCCTGCTGTGGATAAGACGGGTGGAGCTCCTGCTGTGGATAAGACAGGTGGAACTGAAGGAGCTCCTGCTCGTACTGGTATCAAGCGTAGGCCAAAGCAAATGGCAGTGAGGAAGCATGCTCCTAAGGGGAGGGGTCGACCGAGAAAGGCTGCTGAACCAAAGAAGTTCATAACGCCAGAACCGACGAAGAGGACACGTTCACGTTCACAGTGGGTTTCCTCTCCTTTCACCGAAGCTGACACTGATGAGATTGAAGGGGGCAAGAAGAAGCCTAGAACAAAAGCTTAGAGGACAATCAGCTTAAAGTATTTTGGGTGTTAAGTATTTATCTCGGCTTATGTAAACTTATCTAGGATGTTTAAAATATTTTGCTATGTTGATTGTTGATCTGTAAAACTTGAATATTATTTTGCTATGTTGTGTTGTGTGATTGTCTTGCAACAGGTTTGACTCAATTGAACAAGGCAGTCAATGTCTTAAGAAAACATAATTGTACTACTAGATATACTAGGTATTACTAAGAAAAACAATGTTAACACTTAAAAAAACGTGTAACACATTATCCAGACCTTGTAAAAGAATAAAAAAAAACCTATGGCACATGTCTAAAACGTGTTAGTAAACAAACATGTTTGAATATTAAATTTACTCTTAATAGTACACAAGCTACTAGTAATATTTCATTCTTCATAGTAATATTTTTACAAATTTACGCATTTTTTAGTAATACAGCCTCTTAAAGTTAAATTTATTAGTAATACCAGTGTCTTTAGACATTTTTAGATTGTATCTAACATATTGGCAGAATCAAATTTTAGAAATAATGTATTTTCTGAAATTCATCCCATTATGGCCTTCCCATCAAGACATTTGTAAGGAAGCAAAGGAGATTTTCTATGGAAATAAGAAGTTTTCTACAAATTTGAGAATCTAAGAACATTCGATGTTTTCCTGGGCAAATATACACAGATATGAACATATAATCACGTAATATATGAGATACGTCATTTAAAACTAAATAATAAAACAAAAACGAAGGTTAATAGAAAAATGCATAACACATAGTAATTCAAAGTAGTTTAAAGTAGTACAAGGTAGTTCCTAGTAGTTCAAGTGACACATAGTAGTACGAAGTAGTTCCTAGTAGTTCAAGTTACACATAGTAGTTCCAAGTAGTACCTAGTAGTTCAGTGTTACCTACTAGTTCAAAGGATAAGAGTCCTATGCTACTCAGCGGTGGCAGAGGTACTTCCACTTTCCCTGCCCCTTCCTCTTCCCCTTCCGCGTCCTCTTCTTCTTCCACGAGATTCTCCAGCTGATGGGAACCTTTTCTTTTGAGTCGGTCCTTTCTTTTTTTCATATACCGGGGGAAGAACTTTAAATGCTCGAATCTCATCTGGTATGACCCATTCAGACATATGAGGAACATGATAAATTGTCCTACAGTATGCCAATGCCCACAACTCCACCGAATAGTATTTCGTACAAAACTCTTGTAGATGAAGATCTCTTCCTACGCTCAAGAATTTGGCAGCAGCTGCAGCATGAACACATGGGATTTTGTCTATATCAAAACGCCTGCATGTGCACATTTTTCTTGCCAAATCAACAGTATAAATCTTTCCGTCACTACCATTGACATTGTACTCAAGGTGGAAGCTGTTTATCTCAACAACATCTAAACACCTCGCCTCCAGACATTTTT